TCCCTGCTTATGCTGAGCCCAGTCTCCTTGTAGATAAACCTGGACCCTACCCTTTAACCCCCTGGGGCCCCTCGAGGAATGAATGTGTCACACGGCACAGCGCCTGGCACGCTGGGGCATGTAGCTGATGTCAGTTCCTTCCTGCTGGCAAAGTGGCATGAAGGCAAAGGACACAAGGCTCCTTGGCTGTATGTGTTCTGGGAGAGGATGTGTGCAACAGGCACACGTCGCCCTTGTCTGAGGGGCTCAGGATATTCTGGAGAAAGAGGAACCGTCTCGTCTTCCCTTCCCACCCCACCTGACTGAAAGGGAGCTTAAAAGAAAAGCCCCGCAGGAGGGGAAGAATGAAGGGGGGGAAATCGGAGGGGGAGACAAACCATGAGAGACGATGGACTGTGAGAAACAAACTGAGGGTTCTAGAGGGGAGGGGGGTGGGAGGATGGGTTAGCCTGGTGATGGGTATTAAAGAGGGCACGTTCTGCATGGAGCACTGGGTGTTATGCACAAACAATGAATCATGGAACACTACATCAAAAACTAATGATGTAATGTATGGTGATTAACATAACAATGAAAAATTAAAAAAAAAAAAAGAGCCCCGCAAGAGCACCTGATCAAGCTCTCAAGGGCTCACTAAACGCTCACTAGCCCCGTCTGCGGCTGGGAAACGCGCAGTTCACCCGTGCTGCTGAGGGGGCTGGGGGCAGCCTCTGCCCTTGGCCCATGCCCCGGAGGGGGCGTCAGGTCTCCCTGGGGAAACACCGCTGCCTTTGCTTATTTCTTTTGTTCTCACCCCTTGGCGTGGCTGGGTTCTGATCACAGGTATATTCTGTTTTCATTTTGCTAGACTCCCTCAATTCCCTCAAGCCCCTAGTAAACTGTTCAGTGACCACCTCCCAGAAAAGTCAAAACCGTGGCATTTTGGGGGCACCCGGGTGGCTCAGTCTGTGAAGTGTCTGCCTTCGGCTCAGGTCGTGATCCCAGGGTCCTGGGATCGAGCCCCACGTCAGGCTCCCTGCTAAGCGGGGAGCCTGCTTCTCCCTCTCCCTCTCCCCCTGCTTGTGCTCTTGCTCTCTCTCAAATAAATAAATAAAATCTTTAAAAAAAAAACCAAACTGTGGCATTTCCTGGAGACTCCGCTTTGTCTTCCTGATGCTGTCTGGTGCACGCCCCTCTCTGCACCCATGCTCAATGCTTCGAGAAGCATCCTGCAGCATATGCTGGAGGAACACACACAATTTTCAGAACTGGGGGCGTGCTGAGCTCACGATGGGCTGGGCCACACATGGGGCAAAAGCAGGACAGCACAGTGCCCCGTGTCAACAGGGGGGGCCCGAGTGGCTTCTCCTGCAGAAACGCGGGGATGGACACACCTCAAGACCTACTGCTAAATGCGGTCCCAGCAAATGACCCTTGTAAAGCCAAGAACAGTAAACGGAGCTTAACGTTCTAATGAAATCAAAATTGCTGGGTGTGCTTTCAAAATGAAACTGCCTGGAACTTCTCATAACGCTTTTTACGATAAGCATTAAAATGTAAAGAGGAAGATGGAAGTTCCTGCTCCAGACCCGGTCTGTAACGAGCGGGAGCGGAGGCCTCGAGGATGGGGTCCGGGAGAGAGGTGTGTGCGCTGCATTACCCTCGGAGATTATTATATAAAATGAGTGTGTTATTAAAAGGATCCTGAAGTCATAAAAAGTCAAAGGAGTTTTTAGTGAGGATGAATAACTTTTTTGGTAAAAAAATGAATAACTTGTATTATCATGCTCTGGAGCATGGGTGAGTCCCGAAAGCAGTCACTCCATTTCCTATACACCAGAGATCTTTCATTGCCAGTGGTTGGGTTTTGTTGGTTTTGTATGGCATTTTCATTTTGGAAAGATCAGGAACCCAATCTTGAAGAAAGTTGGTAGGAGAGAATCCCTCCAATTAGCAGATGTGGGACCTTGATTACTGTATTAGGAAAAGTCAACAGAAAGACCCATCTCCTCCAGCCACGCCAGCCACCGGACACCATGTGTTGTGTTCTTACTTCTCAAACACTACACACCACCTCACCCATTTCATGCCACACAAAGAATAAAATCATTGGGTCAGACGACTGTGGTCTGATGTGGTGGGAAAAAAAAAAAAAGTTTTTCATGCAGTTTTCCTTTCAAATGTATTCGATTAATTAAGAATATGCTCAAGTATGACTTTGGGCTTGAATTCCTCGAGTAATTTAAACATTTTCCCTATAATTTTGTTTCTGCCCATCAACCAAGGAAATTCCAATTTAATCTCTGGCCAGATAATCATAAATTCTAAATTAGTGGAGGCTAAATAACATTCCCCTTTACGTGGTCAGGAGGATGTAGGATATCTGATTTATGAACGTAATCATGCTACAGATAGTCTGGAAAACAGAAGTAAAAGATGCAATCATTCATCCTAACACAACTCAACCATTTTTCCATATTTCCTAGTCCTTTGTCAGATGCATGTTTTAAGATTTTAATCTACTAACTACTTATTTTAACCTACTTTTTAATTGATCTAAGAATTGCTCTATATTAGTCTTTCTGTTGATGAATAATATCCCACTGAGTGACTATATACCCTGTGTTTCCTAAAGTATGGGTTTCCCCATATATATTCCTATATATTTTCCCATATATTTCTTGAGTGTAGATTGCTACAAAGTAGGGTTACTGGATCAAAGGGTAGGAACTTCTTGTGATCCCTAATGCTCACTACCAAATTGGTTTTCAGAAGGTTGTTCCAACTTACACTCCTGTCAAGGTTTAAACTTGTTTTCAAGGGTACCTATCTCCTTGTGTCCTGGCCTATCTTGAACAGTATCACTAAAAAATAAAAAAATAATAAAAAATTTAAAAATTTTTAAAAATCCATGGTTTTTGTTCGTTTGGTTTTTTTGGCTAATTTAGTGGGTGACAAGCATGTTCAGTGAATTGTGAAGGATTGTGAAGTAGGGTCCTATGATGTTATGTTGGCTCTTATATTCCAGAGTAAAGGCATAAAAATAATCACAGAGACATATTCTGTATCTGGCTGCCTTTCTTAGAGTCTAATGTTTCTGCTCATCTGCAGAGAAAGATCCAGAAGGCAGTAGGAATGCTCCGATGTGGTCTGTCAAGACTCAGACAGCAAGGGGGGCTGTCTGCCCTGGAAGGCGGGTCGGGCTACACTGTATTACTGTTCTGGCGTCATTTCGATCGGCCGGCAGCACACTTGAGTTTCCGGAAGCAGACGGCAGAATTTTGGTGTTCTCTCCACTTAGAAAAACCATGAAGTCGGCAGAATTTTCTTCAGTCGCTCTGTTCACCATCACTGCCTATCCGTGCTGATTCGGCACTGATACGGCCTCTGATTCTTGTTAGAGCAAAGAATTTGGGTGATGGACAACGTGCTCTGTACATAGAATAAAATGAAACAATAAACTAAGGTGTGACTTAGCTTTGAGGTTTGAGCCTGCTTATACTTAACAGCGGGTTAAATATGCCTTATCAAAGATCTTCTGAACACGAATCATTATAGAAAAGATTTTGCACGGGGGGAAAATAGCAATGGATGTGTCCAAAACACTTGCACACACCTCGCTGGGCCTTGGGTAACCCTCCTGAAGACTCTCCATTATACAAAATTTCGAACACACAGCAAGCGAAAAGAATGGTGTAAGGAACCCCCATGTGTGCGATCACTGTCGACAACCAATAAGCCCTTTAATGTGCGCGGACCGGAAGGAGGCGCCCCACGCTCCCGGGGTCCCGGCCCCGCATCCAGGCTTCCCAGCAGCCAGTGACTCTCGGGTGAGGCAGCTTTTAGCATTTGCGAGAAGCAGCACCGCCAGCTGCCAAATTCCTGCTGGGTCGGCCAAGAGGTATGAACCCAAAATGAAAAAACACGAAGGATTTGTTTTTTAAAAGCAATACATCAAACACAAAAAGAGCTCTTTTGTATGAATTTCTGGTGCGGAAGCCAGAGAAGAGAAAATCATTCTCCCTCCCAGGAGGAAGCGGCTTGACCTCACCTGCAACTTTTCTCTTACGGTGTGGGCTTTTCTCACCCCATTAAATGTAACCTACTCTAGGTGGGTTTGAACCATATGGGAGAAATAGGGAGTGATGGAGAAAATGCCCAAGGGCAGCAAAGTGCCCAAGGGCAGGCTGGGGCTGCCACCATCGCTGGAAGGCGGGCCCTCAGGCCACATACACTGGGTGGGGGGGAAGCAGAGCCACAGAAGGGGGGGCCACAGGGCCATGTGGATGCGGCTGCTTCAAAGGTGCCTGTCAGACACACAAGGGCACAAGGATCACGTTTCCGTGGCTTCAGAAATCGTGTGCACTTCCCCCCGCCCCACAACAGTCTTTGCAAAGGGAAAGGAAAGAGAAAAGAAAAAACAGAAAGAAAAAACAGGTTATAATGGGGCATCTTCCCACCACTTAAAAAGAAAGGGCCAGTTGGGATGGTGGGAGCAGTTTTCACACTGTGAAACCTGAAGGAAAAGCAGCGGAATCAAACCCGTGTTCTCGAAGGGCATGGGCCCCAGAAACAGGAGCGCGAACACCCGAAAACCCAGCCAGGGAGCCCTGCCTACTGTCGAGGAGCTCAGGGCTGTGCCGCACGGGACAGGAAAAGACAGTAGCAGTGCTGTGTCCCTAAATCCCCATCCCATTAACCAGGTGCCAATAGTGAAACCCACAAAAGGACCCCAGTTACATCACCTGGCGGCCGCTCAAAAGGCTCCCAGCACTGACCCCCCGGGACAGGCAGCCTTTTCTCCGGGCACACGGCAGGAGAAGGAGCTCACTTTGGCATCCGTGCGACCAGGGTCAGCGGCCATCTGCCTACACACCGTCCCCTGTAGATGCGTCGGAGCAGAAGTCTCGGGGAGAACTGACAATCCGCCGTTTTAGACCTGCAAAAACGGCACCTTCCCGTGACTCAGACTGAGGAGGAGGAGAAGCACCATCAGCTGATTTTTCTGACGTCAGCACCTGAGGGAATTGCTGCATTGATTCCACTGGATCCCTGGGAGTGTTCCAAGGTGGGGACCTTGCGACCCCATTTGTGGATGAGACGACTCAAGTGATTGATCCAGGACCACAGCTGGTAAGAGGCATGCCCAGTGCCCACGACAAATAACTGTTTCCAAATGAGGAAGCCAACAGCCAACGAACGTCTCATCACAGGGCTGCTGAGATGGGTGGCGCACTTGGAACCACAGCGGGAGGCTGGTGGGGGAGGCTCTGGGGAAAGAAGGCAGTGCCATGCCAGACCCCAGCCCTTTCAGAGAGACCAAGACCCAAGGGCTGTCTCCACCTTAACTGTGACACTCATCCTACTGGTTTGCTTTCACTTCCCTTTCATCTCCTTGTGAAGTCGCATGCTAAAACACATCCTTGGTGGGAGCCGCATCTGAGCTATCCAGGACCTGGGTCTGCTCAACCACACCGGGCGTGGAGGGAAACGCACGGCAATTCCTCTCCATTCCCTCGTTCCTGAGCTTTGCCCTCGCTTCCCAATCTCACAGAAATGTTCACAGTCGGACTTGAGCCCCTAACGTACTTTGAGATGACCTGTTCACAGGCTGAGCTGGTTTCTACAAAGAGAAGAAACCTTGACTTTATCGGGGACAAGTAAAAAGTTAAAATTGTTGAGGCCTTTAATTACCCTTTCTAAGGTTAATGTTCCATTCATTTCTGGATGTTTCCTTAGGGACAAGCACCTTTCTCTAGGCCCCTGCTTCTCCCAAGAGCTTGAAGGACACGCAGAGGCTTGTGTCCACTGGAGGACTCATGGAAACACAGGGTAACAGGGTGCATATTTAGCCATGCGTCAGTTTTATTCCCTGAAGCAAAAAGGTAAGTGGATAGGTTAAAATAGTTTTTATATTAAAACAAATACACACCAGAATTATGGAGTAGAAATACCTATAGAGTAGGTAAATACGTTAGGTGACAATACAGTGAAAACAAAATGAAGCACAGTAAAGGGACAGAGAGGGACAAGGGAGGGGGTGTCAACTGTGTGTGGATGGTCAAGCAGGACCCCTCTGGTAAGACATTCGTTCAGAGAGCACAAGGAAGCCAGAGGGTATGCCATGAAGGTATCAGAGAGAGGAATGTTCCAGGCAGTGGAAACTGCAAGACCAAAGGCCCCCAGGTGGGTATGGGGAAGAACGAGGTGGCCGAGTACGTTGTAAATGTGTATAGGGGAAAAGGACAGCTACAGGAATGTGGGATTGGGGGGGGGCATGTTTAGGGTTTTTAAGATCTGGATTCTGGATTTTATACTGAATGAAATAAGAAGCCATGTTGAGCCATTCTAAGCAGAAGGATGATATAATCTGACTTTTTAAAAAAAGATTCACTTGGCTTCTGTAGGAAAAACAGCTTGGGGGGGGCGGGGTGTCAGTGGCCACGGGGGATCAACTAGGCGGCTCTACAATGATGCAGGTGAGAGGCAAGGCTGTGTGGGCTGGCATGGGAATGCCAGAAGCTGAGGAGCAGGTGCCTTTTAGATATTTCAAAAGTGGAGCTAACAGGATTTGATGACAGATGGAGTTCCTGAAAGAAAGGGGTGGGGGAGAGCAAGGAAGATAGAAAGGAAGGAAGGAGTCAAGGATGAGTCCAAGATTTCTGTCCTACACAACTGGGAAAAAGGGGACATGTCATTGCGGAAAGGAGGAAGCCAGGCGCTGAGCAGGTAGAGGGTTGATCGGGCACTGGGTTTGGAAGTGGCAAGTATGAGAGGCCTACTGCACCATCCAGTGGATCTAAAAGGCAGTGTGGACTTGAAGGGAGAAATCTGGACCAGGCTATTTATTTGGGAACCATTACCGTGGAGATGGTACGTAGAGCCATGGGACCCGGTAAGGTAAGCTAGGGAATGAGTCGGACTACAGAGGGAAGACGTCTGATCACCTTGACTCTGTTCTCTGGCAAAGGCTTCAGGCTGAGAATCCAGAACCCACAGCCCTGATTTCTTTCTCAGAAGCACAAAGTATGTTGACCATATCAGGTCAACACACCTGAGCTGCCAACCCCGAGAAAAGGCGGAAATGCACCTCCTCCTTTGCTAACAAGTGTCCCCACACACGTGTGCAGAGCAGGGCACGAGGGACACAGGGGCCCCCTCCTGAGGTGCTCCTGCCTTCAAACACTTTTTAAATATATTCAGAACAGAAGTAAATGATGACCATATGCATCTTCCAAAATAATGATGACCTTTGACACAAACCACTGAAAACGACTTCAGAGTTTCTGTACCACACACGCTGCCTAGCATATAGAGGGTAATTTGTAAATATTTGATGAATGAATCATTATGTACATTTCTAACTAAAACCAGAAAATTTGGGACTGTGAATCCTTTACAGCTCAACAAACATGCAAAATTACTATTCGGTGAGAGACAAATATCTGAAGGTCCCCGGTGATCCAACACACCCCCCTTTCATAGAATGAGTAATGCTGCCTTAGGTAAATGAGCTCTGCTTCCCTTCCAGAAAAAATGAGGGAAGAACTCTTGCCATTGATTTCTCCCCCAGTGCCCTGTGCAGAGCAAATGCCCAGTAAATTGTAATGAATGTCCAATGAGTGAGTGAATAAATATTCATTAAAAATTAACTGGACAGTTAATTTAGGTCACTCACCGGAAAAAAGAAAAACAGTGAAACTAGAAAAGTATCTTTTTAATTTAAAAGGTTAATTAAGGATAAAGCTTTAAAAAAATATTTTGGTGGCTTAAGTAAACCAAACACAACTGGGGTTCTAAACAGCTGTGATTTGTAACTTTGAAAACATTCCATTATGTTCCACAAATTAGAAAAAAGAGCAAAAGCTGCCTGACTCATTTTATGGTTCTAGTACAATTAATCTCAATTCTGAGTTAGGTAAGTAAGAAAACAAAATAACAGGCCCTCTTCACTTATAAACAGAGAAGTGAAAATCCTAAATGAAATGCTAGCTAACTGAGTTCAATTACACATCTTATGTATAATGCATTATAATCAAGTAGCGTTTATCCTAGAAATGCAAGGATGGTTTAACATCAGAAAAACCTATCAATGGAACACATCACGAGGGCAAAATGAGAAAATCACATGATTGTCTCAGGATGCAGAAAAGATAAGTGATACATGTCAGTGGGTCTGGGTCAATTCTCCAAAGGACCTATTGGTCAGATGACTGATCTCCTAAACTTACCAAATTTTCTGATTCCCAAAAGCATGTTTGTCGTTTACTATTTAAAATGGTACAGCAGTTTGTATTAGATGTATTGGCAGGCCTGTGAGAATGGCAGGGGACCAGGACTCAGATCATCTGAGACACCAGAAAACCAAAAGTGACTGTTCTCCAAAACTGGCAAATAATCCCAAGCACCACTGTATCCCTTCAGTCTTCCCACAGAACCCACCAGACTGACCGGGGCCACTCACAAGGAGGGAAGAAAAACTACTTTGTGGTTTTCTCCGGAGGACATCCATCCGGTCCATGCCAATGAGCAGTATCTTCCAGAAGGAAGAATTCAGGAATGAGGAAAAGAAGTAATGAAGCATCTACAGAAAAGATCATTGGGTCTAAATCAGCAAATTCATTACATAAAAGTGACTTCTGATCACAATCTCTCTTAACACTGTCCCTACATACCATCCAAAGATAGTACTTTGTGCTGTGTCTAAAATCTTCTGATGCGGCTTTAAAACAATCACATCCTTAGCAACAGACTAGAGTGATAATGTCAGAAAACAGTATTGGTTCTATGCCCACAGTTTCAATAGCATTTAAGTCCAACCTTTCATAAACATTATTACATTTATTTTCTCCTCGTTTTGCCTTATATTTTTGTTTTTATAAATGGGGAACAGGTGTGCGGAGGAAGACTCACAATCAGCATGGCATGCATCGTTGAGAAGTTTCCTATGTAAAAAGCCCTCTTTTAATACCTTTGCAAAAATGTCAAGAATTTCCCATTTGAACATATTCAACGAGGGATTAAATGTGCCGGCACTCATTTCTGGTGTGTATTTCGTTAGTTAGGTCTCTCAAAGTTACACAGAGTCCGAGCCTGTTCAGCACATGAATGAATGAGGCTAAGGAAAAGCCACCAACACAGAATGCAACCGTATACGTCTTGACCGAGCACAGGATGCCTGAGGTCTCATCCCATCCCGCTGCCTGCATTCCTAATTTTGTGCATTGGCATCATTTACCCAACAATGATCTACTGGGCACTTACTATGTAACAGTATTCCAGAGAGCAAGAAATGTAGCAGTAGACAAAGCAGGCTTACATTCTGGCAGGAGGAGGCAGATATGAAACAAATACGCAAATAAATATATTCTATATCAGGTAAGGGGGTAACAGAAGGGGCAGTGGAGGCTGTCTGACATTTTGTAAAGACAGTTAAGGAAGGCCTCTCTCATGAGCTGACATGTGAGCAGAGTCCTGAAGGAAGTGAGAGCAGGAATAGCATCTGGGAGAGGAATGATCCAGGCAGGGAAAGAATAAACACTAAGGATCTGAGGCAAGGAGGGTATGCTTGCAATGTCTGAGGCCCAACACCCATGTGCGTGTGCATGGCTGCATGTGCACGTAGGTCTGCTAGGCAGGAGTGGGGGTGGAGGTGTGTGGGGGGGGGCGCTCAATCATGTAGGGCTTCCGGGCAGTTGAGAACCTCAGATTTTCACTTAGCATAACATTTCTGAGATGCACCCGTGTTTAGCATAACATTTCTGAGATGCACCCGTGTTCCTGCAGGTGCTCATCTTTTGCTCCTTGATACTGTTGAGTGGTATTCCAGCAATTTGTTTATCCATTTACCAATTGATGAATAGTTGGGTTGTTTCCAGTTTGGGAGGATTATGAATAAAAGTGCTATGAACATCTGCATACGGGTCTCTGTGTGGACACATGTTTTCATTTATCTTGGGTCAACCCCTAGGAGTAGCACTGCTGGGTCATATGGTGAGTGTATACTTAATTTCATAAGATATTACCAGACTGTTTTCAGCGGTGGCTGTATCATTTTGCATTCCCACCAGCAATATGAGAGTTCTAGTTCCTCTGCATCCTTGTCAACATAGGGTATTATTATCAGCTGCTAAGTTAGCCCTACAAATGGATGCAATGGTATCTCATTATCTTCCATTTCCCTGAAGACTAGTGATACTGAGCATCTTCTCACATAACTTTCTGGCATTCATCTTTTCTTTGAGGTGTCCGTTCAATTCTTTTGCCTTTTTTTTTTTTTTTTAACTGGGTTGTCTTCTTCTTCTTCTTTTTTTTTTTTTTTAAGATTTTTTTATTTATTTATTCATTAGAGACAGAGAGAGAGAGGCAGAGGGAGAAGCAGGCTCCCAAGGAGCAGGGAGCCCAATGCGGGACTCAATCCCAGGACCCTGAGATCATGACCTGAGCCGAAGGCAGACGCTTAACCATCTGAGCCACCCAGGCGCCCCTGGGTTGTCTTCTTAATAGTGAGTTGGAAGGCTTTTTATGTATTCTGGCTACAACCTCTTTGCCAGGTATATGTTTTGCAAATATTTTCTCCCAGTCTGTGGCTTGCCTTTTTGTTTTCTTAACTGTGTCTTTTTTTTAAAAAAGTTTTTAGAAGTATATATACAATGAGATATTACTCAGCCATCAAAAAGAATGAAATCTTGCCACCTGCAATGACGTGGATGGAACTAGAGGGTATTATGCTAAGTGAAGTAAGTCAGTCAGAGAAAGACAAATACCATATGATCTCACTCATATGTAGAATTTAAGAAATAAAACAGATGAACAGAGGAAGGGCAGAAAAAATAAGACAAAATCAGAGAGGAAGACACACTATAAGAGACCCTTAACTCTAGGAAATAAACTGAGGGTTGCTGGAGGGGAGGTGGGTGGGGGGCTGGGGTAACTGGGGGATGGGCATTAAGGAGGGCACGTGATGTAATGAGCACTGGGTGTTATGTGCAACTGATGAATCACTGATTTCTACCTCTGACATTAATAATACAGTATATGTTAATCAAATTGAATTTAAATAAACATTTTTTTAAAGTTAAATAAAAATCATTTTTTTCGTTTATAATTCATGTTCTTTGTGTCTGGTTTAAGAAATTTTTTCCGTACTCCAGCGTCACAAAGATTTTCACTAACATTTTCTTCCAGAAGTTTAATAGTTTAGCTCTTATATTTAGGACTATGATCTGTTTTGAGTTAATTTTTTCATATGATACCAGGTAAAGGTTGAGATTCACTTTCTTCTTTCCACACAGACACCTAGTTGTTGGAGCACCATTACTGAAGTGACTATCTGTTGCCCCATTGAATGACCTTAGCATCTTTACCAAAAATCAATTGGCCACGTAAATGTAGGTGTGTTTCTGGGACTTCTACTCTTCCATTAATCTATACCTCGACCCTTATGCCACTATATATATATATGTGTTATATATATTATATAATATATATATATATGCACACACACACACACACACACACACATATATCTTGATTACTGGGGCAAGTTAATTTTAAGCTGTCCCTCTTGGATTTGTAAAAATTAGATCTCTAAGTGTAACTGGAGTTGATTTACCTATCCAGTCAGTGAATAAATGTGAGAATCTGAAGACCAGGGGAGAGACTGGAGATGTAAATTTGGAAGCCATCAGTTCCGAGAGGATATTTAAAGCAGGGGACACTCCCCAAGGCAAGCATGCCCACACACATGCCCTTTTTATCACACTTTGAGCTGCCTGAGCTAAGAAAGTGCACAACCTCTCTGATCTGTAAGCAGTGAGGCTTCTATCCTTAGCAATGCCAACAGGGTCCAATGCAGCGCTATCTAATTTGGATCCGCTAGATTTCCATGGAGCAAATCGAGTCCCAGATGCAGCCTGGAGGCTCAGGAAGTCAAAGCCTCCCTTCTCCAATTTGAAAAAAAAAAAAGGCAATTCGGTAACAAGCCCAAATCACAGGGTTGTGCATGAACAACTAATAACAGTAACATGTAAACATTTAGGAACAGCCTCCTGGGGAAAATCCAGCGACCTTTCTTTCTACAGAAGGGTGTCTGAGGGTCACAGAATCCATTTCCACATCTCCTAACCGTGCTCAATATCAGCAGCAGAGCATGCATGCAAACAACTTCTGGAGCGTTCATCTCGAGTCTGAAAGAGCCCGCAGACTCTGAGGCCAGCCTGACCCCAACACTGACTCATCAGAGGAGCGTGGGGGGTGCCTGAAGTCCCAGCCAGGCTCCGGGCCGACGTGCAGAGGTCAGCACCGCAGAGCATTTCCTACCGAAAACAGACAATGCGGACGCGGGCGTGCTGGGCATACACTGCGGGCACTGTGTTCGGCCCACAGCAGGTACTCCATAAGTACTTGGGGAACAAGCAGACATACACGAAAACAACTTGCATCACGAGCTGAGACACAGAGACTCCATGGTCAGCCGTGCCAATGAAGTGACCATCGACATCACAGATTACAGATGTGAATGGATGTCACCGTAGCGGTAACAATGACAAGAGCGGCCGAGCCCCCCCACCCCCGCCCCGTCCCCTGTGAGTCCTCTTCTCAGCATTTCACACGACGCGACTCAATCATCTTAGCAGGTGGTACTGTCGTTAACTCCATCTTACCAGAAGGTAAATGGAAGGTACTAGGATTCCAGGGCGGGTCTGGGTGATCCGGCTGTGGGTTTTCCCCAGCCCACGTGTTAGCCGCCAGGCTCGTCTTCCCAGCCTTTCCTTCACCTCAAGCCTAAGATCGTACCTGCGAATTCCATTTCCATCCTTTGTTATCTTACCGCAACCTAACTCACACAACTTCAGAACTCAAGCCCACTTGTTACAGAACCCACTGGTAAGTTTAGGGTTGGCTGCAAGTCTTTGCCCCGGGGCGTGAATTCGGTCCACTTAGTCTTGGGGGCGGAGAGCAGTGCTGAGGGAAAGAGGTAATATTCCGAACCTGACGTCAATTCATTAGAAAGCATCTGTGGCCGCTGGGGCCGTATCATCAACAGCAGCATTTACCTCCGTAGGAATTATACTGTGGATACGGTGCTTGGATGCCTACAGCCGATGGACAAGACATGCAGGAAACCATATTTGGCTGGCCATATTTACAAAAGAAAATTCAAGAACAACTGGTGAATCACTGGTAAGCCGTAAATGCCCCTGAATAATTATCCTTGTTACTACCACCAGCCAAAATAAGCCCAGAAACACACAATAGAGACACACGTAAGTTTTCAACCTGCTAGAAATTGATTTTGGTAGTCGCTGGCCCTCTGACATTTTAGAACTTGGGTTCTCATACATGATTTGCTCCTCGGCCTAATTCACACGTACCACATACTATTATAACAAGGGGGAAGGGAGCGTGACAATCTAGAAAAGGAATAAATATGCTTTTGTCTCATAATCCAGTGTTAACAGGTATGAAACAATGTTGAAAGAAACAGCAAAGGTCTCCCTTCGGGGGAACTCCTGTCATGTCTGCGAGTTCTTAGCACAGTATGTCTGGCACACGGTAAGGGCTTCAGCAGCGACAGGCTATCTTCTTTTATGATTATGAATGTTTCCAGCAGGAACCCCCCTCTCAGGGAGTCTATTAACTTCTCTTTTTGGTCAAGCTATGTACAAGAATTTAGTCAATCTTAAAATATGGATCCGGTTCATTGTGAACAACTATGTTTTATTTATAAAAACTGCAAGCAGGTTGATTTTCGTTTGTACTTTTAGCAACAATCTTATATATAATGTGATAAAAATAT